GAAGGAGTTGCTGCAGTGGAGTAAAGACGCATTTGGATCCCTGAAAGAGAGGCGGAGGAGGACAGAAAGAGCCCTAGCTAGATTGAAGAAACAACCCCGAACAAAAGTAGTGAATACACATCGGAAACTGCTTCAGAGGGAACTTGATGAAATTCTATTACAGGAGGAAAGTAAATGGCGTCAAAGATTGAGGACGGATTGGTTAAAGGAGGGAGATCAGAAGACCAATTACTTCCATCGCAAGGCATCGGAAAGACGAAAGAGGAACATGATAAAACAGTTGAAGGATGTTGCGAGGAAGCTGTTTGTGGGACAGGAGGAGGTGACTCATTGCCTAGTCTCTCACTATAAAGAGTTGTTCACACAGAGGAGGAAGTGTAGACAACTTCCATCCTTGAATTGATCCAGCCAAGGGTAACAAATGATATGAATGCCCATCTCACGTTACCCTTTACTATGGAAGAGATTTGGAATGCTCTAAAGCACATGGGATCCTCAAAAGTACCAGGAGTAGATGGGATATCAGTGTTGTTTTTTAAGAAGAACTGAGAGATTGTGGGAGCTGATGTGACAAGGGAATTGACAAGATTCCTAGAGAGTGGTTCGTTTCCCAGAGAGTTGAACCATACGTTGATAGCCTAGATCCCTAAGACTAAGAAACCAGAAACACCAGCAGACTATAGACCCATAAGTCTATGTAAGGTGTTATACAAGATAATGTCGAAGGTCTTGGCTAACAGGCTGAAAAGGATACTAAATAGGGTGATAGAAGAGAATCAAAGTGCTTTTGTACCTGGAAGGTACATAACTGACAACGTGATGGTGGCGTTTGAATGCTTTAATGCGATGAAAACAAAAAAAAAAAAAATGAGAGCAAACGAGGGTACATGGCAGCCAAGTTGGACATTTCAAAAGCATATGATCGAGTGAGTTGGGGCTTTCTGAAGGCAATGATGCTGGGATGGGATTCGATGGCAGATGGGTAAACCTAGTGATGTCATGCATTACTACGGTATCGTTCTCTATTTTAGTCAATGGACATAAGTCTGAAAGTTTTGAATCTAAAAGAGGACTCAGACAAGGGGATTCATTATCCCCCTTTATGTTTCTGTTATGCGTGGAGGGACTTTCATCCTTAACCAGAAAGGTGATTGAGGAAGGGAAACGACATGGTTTTCAGGTATCTCGAAGAGGACCAATTATCTCACATCTCCTGTTTGCTGACGATAGTATCTTCTTCACTAGAGCCACACAACAAAGTGTGAGCATTTGAAGGAGATCCTAAAGTTATACGAGAAGGAGTCAGGACAAAAGGTGAATCTTACAAAGTCAGGCCTGACTTTTAGCCCAAATGTGACAGCTGCTCAGAGAGGGAGGTTGGCAGGGATACTAGGAATGAAGCAAGTTGAGGAGCATACAAAATATTTAGGGCTGTCAACTATCATTGGTCGGGAAAAGAAGTCATTTTTCTGAGTTTTGGTGGATAAAGTTCGGAAAAGATCAAAATGTGGAAAAGTCAAAGCTCATCCAATGTTGTCAAAGAAGTTTTGATTAAGGCAGTTGCCCAAGCGCAGACAACCTATACTATGTCTATCTTTATGGTACCTAATGTGGTTTTGATAGAGATTAAGAGTGCAATCTTAAACTTCTGGTGGGGGCCAAAAGAAGGAGAAGAAGAGGATACCATGGAGAGTCTGTGACAAATTATGCGAGCCAAAGGATGCAGGTGGTTTGGGATTCAGGGACCTAAGGGCGTTTAATCTTGCCCTACTAGGGAAACAAACTTGGAATCTTATGCATAATCCAGATTCCCTAGTAGCCCGAGTTGTAAAGGCCAAGTACTATCCTAACACTGATATCCTACACGCTAGAGTTGGGCATAGTCCGAGCTATGGGTGGAGAAGTTTGATGCCGACACAAGAGCTGGTGAGGAATGGGATTCATTGGAGAATTAGGAATGGAACTCAAGTGGAGGTCTGGGGAGACAAATGGGTACCAAATGCTGAGGAAGATGGCTATTTGGTAGTCTCACCGGTGACAAGCCTAGGAGCCCTAGCTCGGGTCTCCTCTCTCGTTGATCATACAACCCAACAGTGGCGAGCAAATGTGCTGCAGCAACACTTTAACCCAACTGATAAGGCCAAAATAAGGGCAATCCCTCTCCCCAGAACACCACAACCTAATAAGCAAATATGGAGCTTTGAGAAAAGGGGTCACTACACAACAAAATCTGGGTATTGGGCATGGAGGCAGAGGATGAAAATGGAGATAACAGACTCAGAACAAGGGCAAATTTATGATCCGGTGAATTGGAAAAAAGTCTGGAAACTACCAGTTCCACCAAAGGTAAGAATGTTCCTCTGGCGATTTCTGCAGTACATTCTTCCGACGGGGAAGAATATAGAAAAGAGGAAGAAGGATGCGGCGGTGGAATGTCCGTTTTGCAATCTGGTAGAAACCCAAGAACATATCCTTGTGGACTGTGGGTGGGCGAGACAAGTTTGGTATCCCATTGAATTCAAGCCAATTTTCGAAAAAGGGGAAAACCTTTCATGCACATCATGGTTCTGCGAGGTATTAGAGGAAATTGAGGAGGAGCACCTAGCTAAATTCACGATGATTCTGTGGAACATTTGGAATGAATGATACAATCATTTGTTCAACAAGAAGAAGGCGGAGGAGTGGGAAATCGTGGGGAAGGCTCTATCCTATCATGAGGACTTCTTATCGGGCAGACAGAAGGAGGAAGAGATAAGAGAAGGCGCACATGTGCATTGGAAGAAGCCGCCGCCGGGCACGATGAAAATAAATGTCGATGCGGCCATCTTTGCGGGAGAAGGGACTGGAGCCGGGATCGTACTCGCGGCAGTTCGTCTAGACCGGCGGTAGTGGCGACCAAAAATTGCCGAACTCCAGGCCATCAGATTCGCTCTGGAAGTGGTGGAAATGAAGGGATTTTCAGTGGTGGAAATTGAATCAGACTGCCTAGAGGCCATCTCAAAGCTCAAGGGTGACGTGGTCTCGCTGACGGAGGAGGGGGAGCTCAGTGTAGAGCTAAGGGCCAAGGCCCATCTGTTGGGCCAGATCAGTTGGAGCTTTGATAATAGAGACTGTAATGGGGCAGCCCACACTATGGCTCACACTATTTATAACTGGGATTCACAGGAAATTTGGGAGGAGAGGCCACCCATTTTTTTACTACCGCTGCTTGATGCGGATTGTAACCAAGTTGAAGGGTAAGCAAAAAAAGTACCCTAGGTTCCTTTTAAAAAAAATCTTCCCATACTAATGAACTGAAATACAAATTGCACAAATCGTCAAAAAACAATCACAAGAGTAATACTACAAGAAACACATGATATTTGATTATCCTTAAACGTCAAACAAGTCTTTCAAACCGTAGTGATTTTTTTTTAACATCTCACCAATTTACGAGGGTTTTATCATTTTGGGAGTTACATATGAAATGTAACGGGTCGACCCGCTAACCCACCCAACCCGACCCACAAGATCACGGGTTAATCGGGTTCGGGTCATTCGAATTTCGGGTTATAAAAACTTCTATTTTTTGGGCAATTCCGGGTTGGGTCAACAGATCGAATTGTAATTTGACAGGTCTACAAAATGGTATGTTCCAAAGGAAATTGTCATTTTCTGGGGGAATGAAAGATTCAAGTATCAACGGAGGGTGATTCAATTCTTGGAATTTATTAGACATTACCGTTGAGGCCTTATGTAGTAGTTAGGATTATCTGAATTCATAAGTTAATTAATTCATGTATTCTAATTATTATTTTTTGAAAGGTCATGTATTCTAATTAGATGTATTGTTTCGTACATTCGAAAATATATTGTTTGGACATTGAGATTGAAAATCATCCAGAATGAATGATTTTTGTGGTCTCATTTTACTCAAATAAAAGTATTATGTTTCATTTAAAACAAAAAATGATGAATTCAATTAAATACATGTATTGCCTATACATGATATGATATCCCAACTTCCAAACGACCGTCAACAATTTACTCATTCATAATCATAGCTACTGAGTAAGAGAGAAAATGAAGCAAATTATGTTAAGTGTGTGATACTATGGTTACATAGGATTAAAGCACAGATTTTGGTTGCCTGTATGAATTTAAACCTATAATTTGATTTTCTTTTTTGACCGGAAAAAGAATGTCATAAGTTTAAAATTCACACTAATGTAAGGATCATGTAAGAAAGTGGTATATGCTCAATTTAATAAACCAACTAATGTAAATAACTCGAATTATTAGAAGAAGTGAGGTAAACAACCACATGATGTAGTTGACCAATATTGTAAAAAAAAATGTAATTCACCAATAGTCGAACTACTGATGTAAGAGCCTATTTGGCCACAAGATGGGCAGCCCTGTCATCCGAAAAATAAATGAACAAGAAAAGAAGTCGAAGCGCTAAGCAAGTCATCTGACATTTTTCACTATAGCTCCTCCAACATCATGATCCTGTCAACACCGGCCACACCACCAATTGGGAATCACCATAGAATTTAGACAACAATCCCAAAAATATAAATAATAAGCAAATTAATTCGATAAAAAATGCATCATCGATACCATATTGATGTTGAACACTTTCTTTTTATAACCGGTTGCATAGCCCAGCAGCCTTCTATCTTTTTTGAATGACAAGAAATCTATGAATGACTCATCACGTTGAAATTATTTCTTCAGATAAACATCAATTAGGAATTGCATAGCCTAGTAGCCTTCTATCTTTAATGAAAATAAATCTATGAAATGGCTTATTCGTATTGAAATTATTTCTTCAGATAAACATCAATTAGGAACAAAACAAAAGTTTATTCAGATAATACCAATTAGGTGGAATACAGGACTTCACTCCATTTATAGGGCTAAGAATATAGCAATATAAGTATATAGCAATCAATATTCATCAGATAAAACCAAAATGTCTGGAAATTTTGAATCCAAAATAATAATAGAAAAAGGGAAAGAAATACTCCCAAAATGCCACTAATGACTACCTCAGCTTCACATCCTACTGATAAGAACGCCTACTCATTCCATTCGGCGGCCTTCCTCCATTTTCCCTCCATTCCCAACACGAAAAAGGAACCATCTTTCCTCTTCAATTAAACTCACTGAACAAATGAAGAGCAGGGGAGAACCCAATTACCGAATCCCCATCGATGGTTCCTCATCAATTTCGCCATTGTTGCTTCACGAGGAGCAGGAATCGCAGTTCGGTGATGGTGGTCACACCAGAATCAGGGCTTCCTTCACTGGTTCAGTCTTCACTCTTTCCACAACGATTATCGGAGCCGGAATCATGGCATTGCCAGCCACCATGAAAATCCTGGGCCTGGGGCTCGGAATCGCGCTCATAGTGTTAGTCGCGGTTCTCACAGAGCGGTCGCTGGAAATGCTGCTGAGATACAGCAAAGCCGGGAAGGAAGTGAAATCGTACGGCGGAGTTATGAAGGACGCGTTTGGGAATGGCGGCAGAACCCTGCTTCAGATTTGTGTGCTGCTCAATAACGTCGGGGTTCTTGTTGTTTACATGATCATCATTGGTATGACTTTCCTGTTCTCCTTGTTTCAATCTTAGGTATTGTTAGGATCAAAATAGATTATGGGTTAAGGAAGTCAAAATCAATTAGATTAGTTCTGTGAACTAGTTGTGGTGAAATGGACTGTGTTTTCTGAGGTTGTGACGAGAACCAATTAGCTATGAGTTGTTAAGAGAGGTTCTAAATTTGGATCTTATACCATTTCCCTTAAACCCCACATACCATTTCAGTATTAAGTTTTGATGCACATGGTTTATGAGGTTGTAAGAACTTAAAACTCGTAAATTAGCCTTTTTTCCAACTGTGTGAGTTATTGGAACAAACTGGTTCTCGAGAGTTTGTTTATGAACAACCACTCTTAGCCTTGAGAGATATTACCAGAGTGTTTGAATTGCTTTCTAATGATGTGAAGGCGATGTGCTGTCTGGAACAACATCTGCAAATGGGATTCACAAGAGGGGTGTCCTGGAGGAATGGTTTGGAAGCCAATGGTGGAATGGCCGTACTGCTGTTTTCCTCGTCATGACATTTGCTGTATTTTCTCCATTGGCATGCTTAAAGCACATAGGTACAGAAAAATATTGTGTTCCCTAGTTGCTATCGTTCTATCATGTGGAACGATTCACCTCTTTCTGTTTTGAAGAAACTGATTCTTTAATACCGTGGCAGATTCGTTGAAGTTCTCGTCGGCTGTAGCAGTTGCACTTGCAGTCGTTTTCCTCGTCATAACAGCAGGAATTGCAGCATTCAAATTGATCAATGGAAGCGTCTCCATGCCAAGGTTGCTTCCTAATGTTACTAGCATCACATCATTCTGGAATCTCTTCACTGCTGTACCCGTGCTTGTGACAGCTTTCATATGTCATTTCAACGGTAGGTAAGACCAAAAACCGCAGTGCATATGTAAGCTTGAATCAGATTATTACCATCATTTGTCCGATGTGTTTGTTCTGCAGTTCATACAATTGAGAATGAACTTGAAGACCCTACCAAGATACGAAAAGTTGTGCAAGCTTCACTAGCTCTCTGCTCTTTTGTCTACATTATGATAAGCTTCTTCGGTTTCCTCCTTTTTGGTGACTCGACACTCGATGATGTGCTGGCTAACTTCAACACAGACCTCGGCATTCCTTACAGCTCTGTGCTCAATGATGTCATTCGAGTCAGTTATGCTCTCCACTTGATGCTTGTTTTCCCAGTGCTTTTCTACCCCCTGAGAAGCAACATCGATGAGCTGCTCTTTCCATCGGCCAGGGATCTTGCTTTAGATACCAGAAGGTTTATATTGCTCACAATAGCACTCATTTGTATGATCTTTCTGGGAGCAGATTTTGTACCGAGTATCTGGGATGCTTTCCAGTTCACTGGGGCGACATCAGCAGTCTGCCTCGGTTTTATCTTCCCAGCTGCAATCGCTCTCAGGTTTAGTGCTTCCCTAACTAATTTCTTGCAATCCAGGTAACGGTTCCAAATAAAGCTTCATTTTTGTTGATTTGTACTTGTTTGGGTTTCAGGGATCCACATGCCATAGCAACAAAGAAGGAGAAGATTTTGTCTATTTTCATGATTTTCCTAGCTGTGCTCTCGTGCTCAGTTGCTATATACAGTGATGCCTATGCCTTGCTGAGAAAGAAACTATCTCCATAGCAACTGGCGCCAATTTGAAGAAGTAGATCATCACACAGACATCAAATTTAGACACTTCTAGTTACTTCCTCTATAGAGTTTTACTTTGTCTTACAATCACATGCATCATACAAAAATGGTAGTCCATTGAAAGAAATTGGTACTCAGCCATCCAGTGTTGACTTGAGACCCAAGAAGCTTATGTATATGCCTTCATTTTCTGTAAACTGAAGTAAACCCTAACCCATTCCAGTCTCTACAATTGGAATTTCCTTTCACTCTTTTATTTTGTATTAGGTTTTGTGTCACATTGAACAAATTGATTCGGCATATACTAAGTAATCATCCGCAACAAGTACAATAGAATGTGAGTTCATCCCTTGAATCTATCGGTACAGACAACCCAGATCCCAGGTTACAATGTTCACTCCAGCTTTTTCGCCAATCTTAAGAAATCTATCAAGAATCTACCATAAAGCAAAAGAAGATAAAGTTGCATTGCATCCCAAGCTCGCATTCTTTTCCCAACATCTGCTGATGCTTTCTTATTACTCGAGAAATTACCTGGATCGTAGCAGAGCGCAATTAGGATGATCATGACCCAAACTGTGTGTCCTTCAAAGATCTGCAATTTCACCAGTGCTAGTGGCCTCTCCTCATTCTCCTCACAGGAGCAGTTGCAAAAGGAACATCTCAAGCCAGTAAACTATACACATTTCCTCTGTTGCAATATGTACAATTCCTCGCAAACTCGACCTGTGGTGACTTCTCATGTCAACCAGCCTCTTCTTGAAGAATGGGTCCCCGGAGCTTGTCTTTCAGAATACTAGGGCAAGGCCCGGTATGGACAAAACTTGCATATTCCGTAGGCCGGTAAAGTTGGCACAGCACAATTTTGGCATTGTTGAGTTCAACCAGCATTCTTTACATCCAAACTAGTTGAAGAAATAGGGAGATATCAGGACATCTTTCAGATCAAAGTCTCCTCTATCTGGCAGAGGAGGAAACTTTAATTTAGGGAAGGACTTCTGAAACGCCTCCAACAACTGCAGCCACAAAAACGAAAAGGATAATAAACCTTAATGATAAGTCCACCATCTAATTAAAGCCAAATGTCAAAATTTGTTAATTTGAAGATGCAAGTATAAAAAGTACAGTTAGGATAATACTAAGGTAGGTTTCCTTTGCCCAGAACCCCCAATTGAAACATCAAAGATAGTTCACAAAAAGTTTCAACATTAGTTAGCAGAGCAATTTCCATAGTATCTCAATATCCTCAATATTATGCCAAGACAAGTAAGCAACCATTTGAACTGCACCCCTTCCATAAAAATGGTATTGAATCTTTCAGGGGAAGAATGTAATGTAACAAGGTGGTATTAGAGGACTTTACATTCTCCAGTATAGGCGCCTCGTAAAGTTCAACAAACTTTTCCCTAAGTATTCTGTTCAATTCGTCGACATCACTTGCATGCGTCCAATAAGAATCGTGGACACCTGTGATAAAAAATGAATTAGGATTACAATACACACACATTGTAAAAGTAGCAGCCACAAAGACAGTAGGCTTAGTGCCGACCTGCAAAGTTTAAACCAGCCTTTCTGCAGGCAACAGCGGTCATCATCATGTGAGACCCATCTAGGGAGTGAACAAAATTTGGAGGGAAAGCAGTTCTTTGCCGTTTAACCATTATCTACAAGAACCACAAGTTTTTTCAAGGATAGAACAATTAAGTATAAACAAGAGAAAGCTTTAGCATATTTAGGTAAATAAATACCTTATCAGTTTCTCTCTGCAGGGCCAGCATCTGAAGTGATGTCTTGATCTAACACATAATTGAAGAACACATAAGTTAGTAGTTGTCATAGGCTTCTTTAGGTGTTAATTTGATTTTACCAGAAAGAAAATTCATAACATAAGGCGTCGATCCATACCAAATGTCTACCCAGTTGTCGGTAAGGCTGTACAACAGGGAGTCCAAGAGGAGTAATCCATTGCACAGGCTCATTTTCCGAGGCAATTATCTGTGACCAGTTTATGAGTATGAATAAGCAACTGCATGTCATTCCACATGTACAACAGAAAAAGGTTCCAGTAGAACTCAAGTTCCATGTCGACAAAAGGTGTGAAAGAAGTACAGAACCTATTTCATTGGCAAAATACAGAAATGACTCGGTGAAAAGTAAACAAAGTATGCACTTCATTTCTGAAGCTTTACTTACTTTGCATGTGATTCAACCAGTTAGGAACTTCTGGTATCTCCGATCAAATAACCAACTTCTAAGTTTTGCCTTTAAATTGATGTGGCTCTCACTTTACTTTATCTTCTCTACATTTTCATTACTACCCCTTCTTTTCCACAAAACTCCAGAAACTTGTGGAGTCATTCGTCATTTCCCACAGCTCAAATATTTTTTAATAAGTCCAACTACCCTTAAAAAAGTCACAAAATTGTGGGATCGTCTAATAATTCCGCAATCATTCACCACTTTGGGGGGGAAAATTATATACGCTGACTAGTACTACTTGCTTCTGTTGACAACCTCCTAGTATGAACCAAACAGCGCCTTCAATAATCAGAAACCATTGCAGCAAGGAGGGTATAATGCCAACAGTTTCCTACTTATGACTCCCTAAGCAATTGCTTTACTTGCAAGCAAATGGAGAAAGGATGATACCACACCTTTGCACATTCCCCGAGCCAGGCCATGATACTTCTTGCTCCTTCAAACATCTCTTCTAGAGCAGTCAAGGTAGTCTGCACATACAGTAAAAAAGAACACTTGATGCAATCTTGTTCATACAGTTTGCATATGGAGATTACACCAGACGTTCAGTTCAGTTTACTTCACTTACTTTTGCTGCATAACAAGCTGAAGGATACAGAAGCCCATCATCTATTGCACCACGCTCTTTTAACCTTTTCTTTATCTGGTCACGAGCACCAATATAGGTGACACCATACACTGATGTCATCACTGTTTGTTTAACCAATTTTCTGTCAACCTGCCATTTAAATTGCAAAGACTTAAGTTTCTAGCAACAAAGACAGATCCGTCTACAGGGAGAACACAGTAACACTAATGAGTCATGCTTCACATGCCCAATTGAGCTGAATAAATGTTCAAAGCAAATGATAATAAAGGAAAACTAACCTGATCAATCAAAAGCTTGGCATGCAATGCATTCGGATTAGTTGCTGGATCTTTCTCTGCATCTATACGCATAATTTCAAGAACTCTACATAAAAAAAAAGGATTAGATGGTCTAACAAAAGTAAACAGTCAGTCACACGCTATATAACTGCAGACTATCAGCACATGGTCCATAGAATTGGTTTTAGTTTCAGACCAACTAAATCAAAAGTTATGTCAATCAAGTGCAGCTGACAAGATTTGGTGTGAGCTAACACGCAAATATAAAAAAAGATATGCCAGATTAGCATATTAAAGAGTTATGTACTATCTGCCTCCATACTGACTATGATGCTGAAGAACAGCACAATAAGAGATTAACCTACCTAGTAGCGATTCCTGAGTAAACATCGGCAGGTTTGTTACCTGCAACAAGATTTACTGCAGCAGCTCCTAACTGATTGACCAAAACAGAGGGAAGTTAGAAAAAGTTTGTAGGGTTTGCCCTAGCATATTTCTCAATTGAACGCAGGACCAGTACCTTGTCCCTTCCAAGAGCAGCATAATGTTGTAAACCGTTACAAGAGCCATCCTTGAACAAGAAAACAAGAGAAATTAGAGCCAAGAGGATGGAAAATAGTGATACAAGAGGAACAATGAATGCAATAAAGACTATCCACCGAAAACTTCCACAGATTTGAAGGACTGAAAGCTTGGGAGTAGCAAGTGAAGTAGTTAGTACCTGGTGGACAGGCATGTATGATAAGGTCATCTCTGGGGAGGAGCTTCTCAATGCTTCTGTGAGATTAACACATGCTGCTAAGCACTGAAATGGATCCTCGGCATTTAACCACCACCGCTTTCCTTCAAGAGGTTGCTCAGCGGAATCAAAGATATCCTCAAGATGTTTCTCAGTAAATGCTATCCTTCCGTCATAAGATAGCTTATCCACGCCACCAGCATACAAATTTGCCAAGTGTATCTTTAGCCACCGCAGACCAGACTTTCCGAGAGGTCGCCCCTCAGCAAACTCCAAGATACCCCGGCAGAGATCAGAACCAAGATGATTCAAATGTGGATGCATGGGATAAGCACGTCCTCTGAAATCAAGGTTGTGTGGGTAGTAGAAGCCTTCCTCATCCTTCATTTTTCTAGCCACCTGATCAAAAGTTTGAATGTCAGATAACAACAACCATTATATGATGCCTCGCATACCACATCATGCAAATCCACATGATATGCTAATTTAAATAGACGAAGCATCTTACAGCAAGTTTAAGCTCTATATCACATCTTTGTGAATGCCTCTCACTGTTCTCTTTTTTTAGATTTTTTACTTTCCACTTCCATCTCCGCATTTCTTGCTCGTCTTCTGTTTCTAGCTTCTCAGGTAGAGGAATCTGTTGAAAATTAATAGATAAACTAAAGCGTTAATAAGGTATCAGAGATAACAAAGAAGGAGAACCGTCAAAATGAAAAGAATAAATAATGTAATAGTCCAAGTATCCAACTCATAGCATTTTTCATAAACATTAATTCTTCTTGTTTCCTTGAAGAATAAAGATATTGCATACTGAAGAGAAGTAACTGGCCAAACAATAAACCAGACTAGTTTGCAGAACTTAAACTCACATCTTCACGATCAACCAAGCCAGCAATACGGCCTCCACTTGCCCATATTCTATCCACTACAGCTAATACCTTCTTGTTTATTCTCCATTTGGTGTTCCCCAATGTATTAAGGGCCTGATTGATAATGGAGGAATTCCATCAGAAAGCAGGTTCCTCATTATATGAGAGAATTATGACAGAAAGCACTATTATACAATCATTATTACACTGAAGAACATGAATTGTGGTTCCAAACCTCATAAACAGGATCTAATTGTTCCCTTGAAGTCCTCTTAAGCACTTGTCGTTGTTGTTTTGACCCATGTATCCTCATAACATAAGAAGGTAAGAAAAAGTGGGCACCTTTGTCATATCTATAAGAAAGGGGGAAAAGGTGTTAGTGTAGTAGTACAAGAAGGATGAACACTCTCAATTCAATAAAAGTATTTTGGGAACCAAAAATAAACGTGAAAGATAGAATGATGGAAAGAGAAAATTTACATCAAGCCGCTAGATGATAGCAAATTCTGAGCGATCTCAGAATCAAAGAAAGAAAATGACAGTAAATACAAGATTCCAATCGATTTGCACTGAAGTTCCATGTGTATAATGCTTATATTTTCAACATAACGCAAAAAACAATTACTATTAAAGCAAAAATGAAAAAAAATTCTAAGAAAATAACAGACAAGGACTGGGATGAAATACTTGCTCCAGTCCACAGGGGGAACCAACATCGGCATGTAAGGGATGACCATATGTCTTGCCTGCTTGAACAAAACAGAAATTAGTGAAACATGTCTCTACACCCCACAAGCTTATCCAATAACAGAAATTAAAGGCGCACATCTAACGCAACGAAGTTCTTTGAAGCTTTTACTTACAGATTTCTCGAGGCCTTTACGGACTAGAGGGTCACATTCAATCACTCCATATCTCCTACTGACTTTCCTGTAAGGGGAAAATTGTATGATATTACTTTCTGTATGGACATAAAGAGATGCAAAGGGACCATGAAAATAACAATAGCTTCTCTGACTTACTGTGCCTCATGTGTGACAGTCTTGAGGGTGTGCACAAATGCTGGGCGAATATCAGGTGGACCATCTCCTAATTGATCGACGGGAGGTTGTATGTAAGCGGTTTCAATCAGCAATTGGATCAACCGACAGCCAACCTGAGACACATTCAGTATCAGAATAACATGCATAACACAAAATGTAGACTTGCAATCATCTCTCTAGACAATCAAACTAACCTTAACATGTGCTTCCTGCCCCCAAGGCGTTGGATCATCATGATCCTTCACCATTTTCCTCACTTGATAAAGCTTTTGCTTTTTCATCAATGTAGTAACTTTTTTTCTAAGTTTATCGCTGTCTTCACCTGATTTCTCCTCTGTATTTGCCACGCTGGCACTGTCGGGTTCAATTTCAGGTTTGCTTGCTTTTTTGCCCCTCTTTTTAGTCTTCTCCAAGAACTTATTAATCATGGACTATAAGATCCAGAAAATGGTATTCAAGTGAGAAGCGTTTTTCATCCAATAGCAGTAAACCGATTACACACTACCTTTCACTAACAAATTAAGAATTCTTACAATAAGAAATCATGTTTTTAGAATGTGAGAAAAGTAAACATACCTCATGTTCAATTGCTTCACCTATACCACAAGCAGCTTGAACCACCCTCACACTCCCATTAGCTCCATTAGTAGTCATCAACAATGCCATCATCTTATGCATCGTTATAACAGCCATCATATCAGCAGGAAGCTCATTGAAATAAGGCCCATGGGATGCCTTAGAGTTCTTTTCCTTGCAAGCTTCCTGATCCGCCAAAATTGCATTCCTCAGAGGCTCAAACCATCCAAGAAACAAAGTCTTCACGTAAGGCAAATTGGGAGCCAATTTCTGCTCGCACATATCCACCAAAAGCTCCTGATACTCTCTGGCCGCCTCTTCCCACGCCTCCGTCTCCATCTTCACCTGCCTTTTTTTGAGCAGATTGTATTTCCCTATGCCCATTCCCGCCACCATCTTCTTCGGCCGGCGAGGCTGCGGCGGCTGCTGTGGTTGCCGCAACTCCATTTTCTGCTGCGGCTGCTGCTGCTGCTTGTTGAATTCCTTCACCATTTCCTGCAGCTCATCGGAGCCAGAAAGGTCGGACTCGTCCGTCGAGGAAACTACTTGCGCCGCCGCAGTCCCGTAGCGCTTCAACGAAGGTACCGTACAATAACCCGCCGGAATACTCGAATAGGGTCCGGTCAAGTTCAAATTTTGAATGGTTGAGAAGCAACTTCGGCGGAATCCGGCGCTTTGGAGGAGGGAATCGGAGCAGGAAGGAAGCACCGGAGGTCTAATTCTGTCGAGAAAGTTGGAATCTTGACATTGGGAAGCACTGCTTGAAGGGAATTTGACCCTTTTGGAGGAAGAAACTCGTCTGGCGAAATTCCTCCACATATTCGCAGTAAGTCAAGAGAACGGTGCAAGAACGGGCAGCAGCTGAGGGATTGGAAGGGGAACCTAAAAAGGGTATCTTGAAGGAATACTGGGAGAAGCGATCGTTATTGAGTTTAAGAAGTTATGATGTAGCGATAATGTGAAGGAGATCATGGGATATTGGAAAGAGTCATGGAAGTGAAAAGCGGAGTGGGGAAGAAGGGAGATCGATTGCAGGCAGGCAGGCAACTGGGAAGGAGGTTTGAAGGGCTGAGCCGCTTTCAGAGTTAAACCCTCTTAAAACCTAGGAACCACTATTCTGACTGACCCGCTTGAATAAATCAGTGGGCGGGCGGGTTCTAAGGGAAAACCGACTCGCTTCTTGACCCGATGAAAGTGAGACAAGCCCAGATGGAACTTGGGCTGGGATATAAATTTCTATTTTTCATAGCACAGCGGATTAGGATCAGAAACTTATAGGTGGTATTTTATTATAAAATACACTTGTATAGCTAAAATTTTCACATTTGTGTCACTTATAGTCACTTTCGACGAAATACCATTTATAGCCACTTCCGTCCAATTCTTTAACGGTGTCAACTAACATGCTGATTGGACTAACAGAAAGGATGATGTGGCAACACAGGTGGAATTAACCAAAAAATAAAAAATCAAATTAAATTGTAATTTCTTTCAAGAAAAATAGTCAAAACAACTCCTCTCCTTCCCATGTTCCTCTGCAAGAACTTGAGCATATCCACTATTAATGGCGGACCAAAGCAAGCAAGGAAAAAAACGAAGAAGAAAATGGACCAAAAAGACACAAAATACACTCTTCGATCAAAACCCCCAATCCTTACAATTAGTCCCCCTGCAAAAAAAAACAAAAAAAACCCTCATTCAGCATAGCCAGCCATGGGCTTGAAGCACCACAATTCCTCTTCTTTCCTCACCTCCCCCGCCCAACCCTTCTCCGACTACCTCCGCTGCGCAAACTTCCCCTAGAACAAGCTTCTTACCTGAAACCTCGTAGACCCGGACATCGCCGCCATCATTCATCACCTCCACACAATCGTTGTTCCTTTCCAATCGTCGTCCCCAGCCGCCATCGCTCCATATCGAGCTTCCCCACCAGATCTGCAAGAAATCAACTAGTGGCGGCAAGCAACGCCATCTCCCCTCACCGCAGTGCCCTAGTTCCAATCGCCTCCTTCAATTTGCTCCTCTGTCACTCTTGCCTTTGCCGCCGCTCCTCCTTCTCTTTCGATCGAAACCAGTGACAGATAGCAGAAGGCGAAATCGATGTCGAGAATAATGACAACTTTTTGGCGGCTGACCTTCAACGGTATGCATCGCCTCCTTAGTCGACCCACAATTGATCTCCATTCTTACCACCGACGCAACAACGGCTGCTGCTGCGACAGAGTCGGAAAGGTGAAGAGGATTCGTGGGGAAGATGAGTCGTGCGAAGCAGATGGCTAAATGAATGTAAATAAATCTATTTATTTATTTATTAATGTATGATGAGTAAATATTAAATAATAGAAATATGTGACGTGTCAATATTTGATTATTTGGCGCTGATGTGTCCGCCGAGTTGGCATCTAGTCAGCGAATCGTCAAATAAGTTAACGATGTTATTAACACCGTTAAAGTTTGTAACGGAAATGACTATATTTGGCACGAAAGTTTCAAAATTCTGGCTATAAGTGGTATTTCACCAAAAGTGGCTATAAGTGGCACAAACGTGAAAGTTTTGGCTATACAAGTGTATTTTGCCTTCTTTTTTTGACAATGACTTATAGTTTTTAAGAGGGTTTAACTCTGAAAGCGGCTCTGTTGGGCTAACATGGATAGGCCCTAGGGGGACATGAGCCTGGTTAGGCCCAAGCCCATGGGAAGAAATGAGGAGGCTGACCCAAACAAGAGAATTAGGGCCACACTAGGTAGGGTAGGCGCATGACGACAAAAGGGGATGAGGACAAATGTGTACGGAGTAGGAAAGCCGAGAAGCGGCCACCTGGCAGCCGTGGTCCCTGCTAGGCGCCTACCTAGGGACGTCCAGGAGCAGCCACGTACAGGCGCACGACCGTTGGACCGTACCAAGCATTAAATGAGGTGATGACGTGGGGCTGAATTCCAGGAGGATGGTCGGGGCTTCGACGAGTATAAATAGTGCTCGGTAGGTGGCATTTATGCAGGTTGGCTTCTCTCACTAAAACTTCGGATAGCACTTACCTCTTTAGATTTGGCACTGACTTGAGCGTTGGAGTGCTAACGGGCATCTCGAAGCCCATTAGGCGCTTGTCTTTACAGGATATTGGCGTCTGTGTTGCGATTCGGGCCTGCCAGATCACGATCAGTGGGACCCGGGTATCTTGGCTCAAACAATTGGCGCGCCAGATTGCGGGCGCACAGATCTAGGTGCATGAATGGCATGAACGAGAGAGATGGGGGTGAGCACGGATCGAGATCGGGGAGCTCCAATCAGGCAGAGAGTGAGCATCAATCAGGGCAAGAGCTGAGCATGGAAATAGAAGGGGAGGATAGCCAGGGGCGCCCAGCCATGGAAAGTGAGTCCCTATCGAAAAGGGAATTATTCTGAATCATAGCTGATCAGGAAAAAGCTATAACAGCGCCGAGGAGGGAGTTGGAAGTAGGACGGAGTGAAGATGTGAGGACGTATAGCCCCACGATGAGAAAGCGAGATAGAGCGGTTGAAAACTCTGAATCCAGTCAGCATGGGCCAATGCAAGGGCAACCGAATGAACGAAATCTTGACCGGTACTGTGACTTCCATCGACATAAAGGACATCACACGACTGATTGCTACCAGTTGAAAGCGGAATTGTAGACCTTGACCGACCGAAGAATGCTTAATGACTTTGTGAAGAGGGCCGAAGAGAGGACTCACCGCACTTATGTAGCAAGGGAGGCAAAACAGGCGCCCGCGTTGCCGATCGTGCAGAAGGCGCCCGAAATACCCCCGCCCCCTTTTGAGGTGAACCAAGAAGGAGCGCCCGACCTTGTTAGGCTCACGGTGGAGTCAATCACCGGCACCATCGACCTTCGAGACAAACTGGACAGATCCAGGCGCCTAAGAGCTGCGTCTTCGGAGGCGAAGGCGGCGATGCAAATACACTTCAACCAGGGACCGGATGAGGCATGCCAAATTCAGTCGGAGGAAGCCTTGGAGATACAAGTTGTGATTGCGGGATGCAGGGTGAAGAGGATGCTAGTAGACACCGGTAACTCGATGGATGTGTTGTTTAAAAGCACTTTTGAGCGTATGCAATTAGCACCTGAGTTGGTGATTCCCTCGAGCTCCGTGTTGATAGGTTTCTCGGGGGCGCCTGCACATGTGATAGGACGAGTGCGCCTTCCCGTAACATTGGGTGATGAAGTGCATCGTGTAATGCATGTGGTGGAGTTCGGAATTGTTGATTGCCCCTCACCATACAATGTGATACTTGGCAGACCCCTGTTGGCATAGTTTAATGGAGTAGCCTCCACTTGTCACCAAACGCTAAAGTTCGTTGTGCCACAGGGGATAGGCATCTCAAGAGGGGGGAACGCTCCCCGTTATGCGTGAGAGGAAGAATCTCAGGGCAATTTTCGAAGGCATAGAGTGAACAACATAGACGTTTGCCCAGAGGAGGTGCCCAGGGATGAACCTGTTGACGACGAACTAGTCGTGGCAATCGACGAGGGGCGCCCGGACCGACAAGTGTGAATTTCAGTGCAAGCTCCTGAGGACATGAGGGTGCCCTTGGTTGCATTACTTCGAGAGTATGGGGAGTTGTTTGCATGGAGCGTGCAGGACATGCCCAATGTGTCTCCGAAAACGGCGGCGCACAGGCTCGCTGTCGAGGAAGGCAAGAGGCCAGTCAAACAAAAACGATGAAACTTGACGCCCGAAAAAGAAGAGGCCGCGAAGTCGATAGGCTACTCGAGGCAGGGTTCATTGAGGAGGCTAGGTACATCACGTGGCTTTCGAATGTCGTGTTCGTCCCAAAGTTGTCGGAAGAATGGAGAATGTGCGTGGACTTTACCAATCTTAACCGGACATGCCCTATAGACGCCTATCCTATGCCATGCATCGACCTACTCGTGGATGCAACGGCCTATCACGAGGCGCTTAGTTTCCTCGACATGTTCTCGGGCTACATCAAATCCCCATGGTTGAGGAGGATAGGGCAAATACCGCTTTCATGACACCTTTTCGTAACTTCTACTACAAGGTGATGGCATTTGGGTTGAAGAACGCAGGAGCCACCTATCAGCGTATGGTTAACCAGGTCTTCCGAAAGCAATTGGGGAGAAACGTGAAAGCGTACGTGGATGATTTGATTGTGAAAAGTAAGAGGCGCCATGACCATATCACGGATTTATGAGAAACCTTCGAGACTAGGCGCCTCTTTCAGTTGAGGCTTAATCCCAAGAAGTGCGTGTTTTTGGCGAAAGTAGGAAAGTTCCTTGGGTTCATGATAACGAAGCAGGGAATTGAGGCCAACCCCAAGCAAGTCGAGGCTATCATGAGCTTGGCACCCCCGCGAACACCGAAAGAGGTGCAAGGGTTGACGGGAAGGTTGGTCGCGCTTGGGGGCTTCATTCCTAGAGCATCGGACAGAGGCGCCCCTTTTTTCAAAGTCCTGAAGAAAGCCTCCAAATTTAAGTGGACAGAAGAGTGCGACAAGGCTTTTGAGGACCTGAAGGCGCTGCTCATGGCGCCTACGGTGATGGCCGCGCCCAAGGCAAAAGAGAAGTTGTACTTATACATCGTCGTGTCTCACATCGCCATAAGCGCGGTTCTCGTGTCCAAGGATCCACTCGACAAATGAGGAGAAGTCGGTATATTACGTCAGTCGCACCATGGTGGGTCATGAAACACGATACGCACCTATAGAGAAGGCGGTGTTGGTGGTGGTCATGGCCGCAAACAAGCTCTGACCTTATTTTCAGGCTCATAGTATAGTGGTGCTGACACGCTTAAACACAACACCAAACCGCGACCAAGTATAATCGCAGTCCGGGAATGCAGTAAAGTGGCAAGTTCTATTTATCAACTCGGGGTCTAGATCTACTGCCTACTCCGTGATTATCTATTATCTAGCAAACTAAGTCGAGTGATTTTTGTTTTAATTAAAAGTAGTAAGAAAAATGGAAATGGTTCGGTTTTCTGAAGCAAAGGAAGAGTCACTCGGGAATGAGTCCCCTAGCTCCTTAGTTAGGTC